GAACATTGTAGCTTGGAGAAGCTGGTATCGGATGCTTTGATAGGGCTGCCTCTTCTAGATGAATTACTCCAGACAGACATTCTCTGGAGAGTTCATGTCTGTAATCAAACCATTAGTCAAACAAATGTTAATGGACTGTCTACATATCAACAGACCAGTTGGTTCAATTCTCTAGTTCAACTTCTTTTAATGCATAATATATTCATGAAGCATGAAGTTATTTAACAATAGATAGCACTAATTGCAGTCACTATGCTTACAAGAGGGGGGAGGGGGGGGAGGGGGGGGTCCCAAATCGCACCTAGATCGGACCGAAAGGGCACTACTTTAGCATCGGCAATTAAAGGGGCAACCCCACCCCCCAGGCACACCACTGTTTATCTGCATTCTGCATGCATCATCCAGGCAAATGAGCTGAATAAGACATACTATAGTGAGCCATGAGATCAATAGATTACAATCTGTGGATGTTTCAGAAGTTTCCAAGTGAAGAGCTGGTTGTCTGAAAGTGCTGCCTGCTTCACTGATGCTCATCAAAGCTGATGTAACCTTTAGGGAGCACCAATTCCACTCAACCATCATGCTCTAGTGGATGCAAATGCTCTGGAAATCCTCTGTATGTGTGTGTGAGAGTGTGTGTTCGGGCCTCCGGTCTAATGTCTGAACTGCCAGATTTATCCAGATTACATAGAAATGTGTCTATGGTTGAAGTTTATCTTGCTATACAGAGCTGCACAAACAAGCCGCAGATCCTACAGAAAGGCACTTTTATATCAGAAAATATATTGGAAATCCTCCGATTTATATTCAAGCCCATTTATGATTATATATGATTAGATAGGATAGAATGACAAAAAGAAAATACAATCTGGAAGAACAGAAGTGCATGTCACAGATACATTCAGAAAATAATTAAATACTATTTCTGTAAATAGTATTCAAAACAGTGGGCACTGTTCATGCAGCCATACATGTTTCCAACAGTACTATGCTACATTGTTGTCACATGACCTTATCATCACATAACATGTTCAAGTTATGATACGGGAAATAAAAAAGGTTATTTATCTTTTTAGTTGTATTTTATGTAAGAATGTCCTAACTTTAGGCAGTGTGGTAAATGTTGAGGCTGTGATTTAGTTTAATTAGTCACTGAAAGTACAATTTTGAGTGCATTGCATTGTGGGATTATTCCTTACAGTAAGTTATGTTGTATACTTATCATTTCATACGGTGGCCGAGAAAGCTCAACGCACTGCAAATGAAAAAACACATGCAAATAGAAAAACAACCTGCAAATTAAGAAAACATCTTCATCAATCTGACAACACAATTCTTTATTTGGTTGTGTTGTGAGCATTTACAGCGTGTTTCTTTATTTGGTTGTGTTGTGAGTATTTGCAGCGCGTTTCTTTATTTGGTTGTGTTGTGTGTATTTGCAGCACTTTCTTTATTTGGTTGTGTTGTGAGCATTTGCAGCGTGTTTCTTTATTTGGTTGTGTCGTAA